TATGTGTCATTCAAGGATCTTGCAGGGTGTCTTTTGATCGTTTTCTTACATTTGCTGGATCTAGGTTAAACCTTAATACAAAATCAAAGTCTTCACGTGCTATAAAGGTTTTACGCTGACTATTAGTCGATTTGCTGCTAAGATATTTGGAAAGCATTTCTTCAAATGTATTATGAGGTAAAAATGGATAATCTTGAGATTTGGTTTTCGGATAGTGTTTTTGCAAAGGACCAAAAGGTGAAATAATATAAAAAATTTGTATTTTATCTTGACAATTTATCATTATTACATGATGTAATTTATTTAACAATTGTTGCTTCAATCAATTACACATTTATTGTGGCACGTAACTTAAAATCATCTTGATATTAAATTTACTATTATCAAATTTAAAATCAATTTAGGTTGCTTTTAAATTCGTATCAACTTGGGCTACATTTGAAACTCCGTTCCAACCCAAGTGGATTCTAAATTCGCAATAATTCCATTTAGACGTACGACATAGCTACAATAATTTCATTTCATTTCATTAAATAAATCTACGCCTCGTGTTATGCAAATATTTGTTACAATTTCAATTACCCAATGAGCTTAAAATGAAGATCGATGAACTGTACGCAATTGTGGTACGAGACTTTATTGTTTATATGATAAATTTTCGTGTGAGAAATTCTTAGCTATAGTGGTGTAATAGTAGTATAAATAAAACCGATTCCTTAATAGTTTAGCTTTAATTTTTTGACAAAATAATTAAGTCTTTTTTCGATCCTTTAATGAATATATAACTAAAGATGGTTGTTCAAAAAATTATCGAAGTCATTAGTATCCAAAATTGTTTCCTCTTTCTCGTCTTAATCTTCGCTACCTATGTTTTTAACTTTTATTATAAATACTTAACTCGCCCCAATCCACTCCCGGGTCCATTGCCTTTACCATTAATTGGAAATCTTCATAACATATGTTACGATATAAAACGGTTTTATGAAACTTGTCATTTAACATATGGAGATATATGTGAAATTATGCTTCATGGAAATAGATGTATCATTGTTTCACGACCGGAATATATTGAAAAACTTATAACATGTGTAATGAGGATTCCATATTCGCAAGGTCTAGAAGAAGGTGGATATTACGGAAATGGGATTTTGTTCAATGAAAATTATAAAAGTTGGAAATATAATAGACAGTTTTTTAGTCAAGCATTATTAGTACCTAGTTTTATGGAAGACGCTGTAAAGTCTACAAATAAATTATTTGATGAATTAAGAGGATACTGGCAGTCCCTTGGAAAGCAAAATGATTCAAATAATAATAATAATGACGATAATTGGACCCTAGAAACAGATTTTGCTAAATGTTTTCGCGCATTTACAAATGATATTATCTCAATAATAGCCACCGGAGAACGCACATATTCAACTGCTTCTTACTATAATATGCATAGTACTGTCAAATCTGAGCATCCCGAGGCACTGGTCGAAGATGGAAATAAATTCATCAATGCTTTAGTAAAATACCTCGAAGGAATCGTGTTCTTCATGATTATTGGCCCATTTGTGAGGCATTATGTTCCCATTATTAGAGATAAAGCAAATTCTTACTTGAAAAGCCGGGACTATTTGTATGAAAAATTGGATCACATAATCAAAAAGAGAAGAAAAGAGATTGAAGAAATGCCAATGGGTACAGAAATGAAAACTGATATGCTAACTTCCTTAATTATTGCAAATACTGAAAAGGATACTGGTAATATAAAAACAGTAGGCGGCGAGACTTTTGAGCCTATGACCGATAAAATGATCAGAGGTAATTTAGTTGATGCATTTGCAGGTGGAACGGATACTGTAAGTAATACGTATATTCCTTATCTAATTTTTATAATTTATTTCTTATTATTTACTTATTTATTGATATCTGTTTTTCTAAATTTAGACTGCTAACGTTTTTAGTTTTGTAACCTATTATGTTTGTAAACATCCAAATATAAAACAAAAAATGATTTCAGAAATTGACTCTGTCTTTTCTAATAAATCTTATCTAACAAGTAATGATCTCTTAAAGCTAAATTATTGTGATGCCATAATCAAAGAAACTAGTCGTATGATGCCAATAGGAAATTTTGCACCTCGTTATATTACTGAAGTGTGTGAAATTGCAGGATATAAATGGGCAGCTGGTACATTGTTTCACTTAAATATTGTAGGGGTGAATGGTCATCCTGAAGTTTGGCCCAATCCTGAAGTTTTTGATCCAGATAGATTTTATAATGTAGATCAAGATTATGTTAGAAAACCAGAAAATAAATATTCAATGATATTTTTTGGTGGAGGTCCACGAATCTGTCCTGGAAGGAAGTTGGCGATGGTTGAACTGCTTTTATTGATGGCATTAGTTTACAGATATTATAACATTGAGTTGGTAAATATGCATGAATCATTGAAAATTGCTACCTTAACGGGTAATGTTATTAAGGATTTGAAAGTTAGAATTAGTCCTCGTATTAATTAAATTTAGTTTTATCCAGTTTCTTAAATTTATGTACTGTAACTGAATTTTAAAAATTCAGGTTTAAAATGTACAGTATTCGAATTTATAATTATTATTTACAAAAAAATTTATTGTTCGTCATTATTTTTTTAAGGCAACGAATGATATTTGAAAAAATTCTCGTGACGAAGGCATGGGCAAAGAGATAAAATTGTTAAAATTCTGTTACAGAACTTGCCTACTAATGCAATACACAGTGGTTACTGTATAAGCGCGTAATAATGCACATGGGCGTTATTTTGAAATTTCAATTTTTTTAAAAATGGCATATTAAACTCAAAATAACGCCCATGCGCGTCTCAAAATAACGCGCCCCTCCATATGTACCAGGTAATCTTTCACGTGCTATTATGAATCTTCGAATAAATTTGAATATAATACGCTTAGATTCAACTTCTAAATCTGAAACCTATTTATTATCATTTTATTAAATATATTAACAATACATCCAGAATTTATTCGCCTTATCTCAAAAAACTAAGGTCTTTTTCTAGTTCTATTATGATATCTCAAGAAAGTGGTTGTTTTCTAAAATTAGCATAATGATTCGAATTATTGCGCATGTGCGTCCCGAAATAACGCGCCCCTGCGCGTTATTATGCACTTATACGGTAAGGTTGAGTTGGTTTGCATTGGAATTTTTGATTTCTATTGTTAATTGCCGGAAAAATTCTGTTACAAACCTTCTATTCCAGTAACACGTTGTAGCATAGGTTGAATTAGTTTGTATTGGAACTTTCGTAATTTACAGTTACAGATTTTTACAAAACTTATTATTCCAGTGATATACAGGATATGGTTTGCTAATGCATTTTATTAACGTTATTTATGTACTAACTAACGCGAGTCATAGTTAAGACGTAACTCTGGTTGTTTCTGTATCTCGAATTTTACGCATTGATGATTAATTAAAGACGACATTAATACGAATTACGTATTTCAACGTAAATTTTCTCACATTCAGGTCACATTTTTCGGATAAAAAAATGTTCAAGCGCACAAATCCAATATTAGGTGACCGATAAGCATATTAAAAATTTTTCGTGACACATGATTGGCACACCTTTCGTGGTACTACTACGTACGTACGGGAATTATGGCAGAAAACTCTTTAGGTAAAGGTCTTTGGCGAATAACGAACCGTATTTAATTAGTTGATAAATTATTATTTTCTTTATTCCTGTGTCTTATTTGTCTACAGCTAATAATTGTGAGCGTTCTCAAGCACCTCTCTCATTGAATTCATTGAAGAATCCGATAGACCGTTTGATCAATGGAATCAATAAGCTTCCATTTTCCATTTTTTTTCAATGGATAGAGATTGCACAACCCTGAGGCAAGTGCATTATTTTGGGGATAATGAACATATTCATTTGCTGGATAATTTACACAGACCAAAATATGCATGATTTACTACTCTCACAATAATCGTATGATCCGAAAGCTATATTTATAATGATATCGGAAAGATCCCAAAATAATTGTGCCATTTTTTAAAAAAAAACTTGAGAATGACTGCTTAAATTATATTAATTACAAACCCATGAATTTCTTGTAACCAAATATTGAAAATCCATTTTTAAAAAACTTGAGAATGACAGCTTAAATTGTATTAATTACAAACCCATGGTTATCCATGAATTTCGCGTAACCAAATATTGATATTCAATGATATCCATTTCTAAACATAAATATTCGTTGATTCAACCTCTATTGAGTACAAAATCATTGAAAACAGATCAGCTATTCTTAGAGTAACAGTACGTACGTCATTTTAAACGATCACTCATCATTTATCGTATCAATAATATTTGTGAACGTAGAAGTGGAGTTCCTTTGAATATTATATAGTTATTGAATGCGTAGCAGACAATAACGAGAATTATTTGTAAAATAATTCATTAGGAGTTATTGGATAGCGTAGCATACAATAACGGTTTTATCCGATGGCTTACGACGATTGTGCTTCTAAATGACTCGAGTTTTGGTAGTGATTACATAAACTGCCAAATAACGAAGTTATTTGGCAGATGACGTATCACTGCCAAATAACTCGAGTTATTTTGGCAGCACTATCATAGTAAGCTATCGGATAACTTATGGTTATTTACTAAATATTTACAGGTTTTGGAATCCACGGATAATATTAAATGAACATCCGGATTTACATGGATGCTCAAAATGACAAATAGATTAGAATATTCAATATACTGTTTTACAAAACTTCATGTAAATTTTTTTATATAAAGGCTGGAAATCTGTCTGTATCTTCTTATAGATCCATACCTTAAATCCATTTGCATCTTCTTACAGATCTATCGTTTGTATCTTCTTAAGGATCTATATCTTTTCTCATAATTATTGGTACTATTGTCTAAAATAATATTTTAATCCTTTTTGTTTAGTCATTTATTTAACAGTTATCTTTTTCATCTTTTTTTAGATTCGAGATGAACTTCAGGGCCCTCCAGTTTATTCTATTTTTCACCGCTATTTTCATTGTTGCTTTGTCAAGTCCAATTGAGAAACCTGATGACGATTTGAGGAAGCGTCAATTATCATGTGTAACATTTGAAGCAATATCTGAGGGTGATTTATATTATCTTACTTGTACTCTTAGTTCAGGTGATACCTACTATATTTACGGTCCCCGAAGCATTGCTTGTGCGGTTTGTCCCTGATTTCAAGTTTGTGGATAGAAACTTTATATTATAAGTCAATCTCAGTTCAAAGATGAGAAACTTGCATCGGAACTAGTTTTTGATTGATATTTAGTAATATTTTTCTATCTTATCGTTATATAACACATTTTTCTAAAATATTATTTATCATATATTGTATTTGAATTCTTTCAAATGTATTTATATGGATAGTAGTTGAAATTGAACTTATTTTATTCGAATTTTTGTAGACTTAATTTGAATAAATTTAATTTGAATTTATTAAATTCATGAATTTATTTTAATTCATATTTATATAAATGCTAACAAGGTTCAAGGATATGATGAGTGAACTTGATTTACGTTATTTATACTGTATTACAAGGCATATCAAGCAGTTTGAACAATGACAATCCTATATTTTAATTTTATACATTCGTAAAATTAAAATAAATAAAAAAATTTATTAAATTTGGGTTGGTAGTTATTGAAAAACCATCGCTAGAAGTTTAAATACAATATTGAAAATGTCAATGAAGCAACCACAAAATTTATTTATTCATATAATACCATTGGATTATTGTTAAAAACTGATTTTTAATCGGTTCAGCTCACTTCACCGACGCTCTTTTCGTAGAAATAACATTTCACCGACAACAATTCACCGACATGTTATTTCACCGACATTTATTTTCCATTTCACCGA